ATTAAATTAAAATATCTTTTATAAAAAATTTACTAAGTAATTTTTTATTCTAGTAAAAATTTTTACCATATATCTTTTACTTCTTAAAAATAAAACTTTTACAATGAATTCTTTAAAAAAGACTTTCATTAAAAGTTTTAGTTACATCAAACAGGTTTTTAGAATACCTACGGTACCAAGAAAAAAAAGAGAAAACAGAATTCCTTTCTTAAAGTACGTCTTTCACATATTTCCAATTTTTATTTTATGAGTTTTGCTTCTCAATTATGTTATCAATTACAAGGTTTGAATTTTAACATTTATAGTTTTCTGTTAGTTGTCTTCTCAACTATGCTGCCAGTTACTGGGTGAATTTCAAAATTTTTATTTTTTCCTTTTCTTTTTTGGTTGTTTGGCTGGCAAGGGCAAAAAAAAAGAAGAAGAAGCTAAAATTTAATTACGATCTTAAATCTCAGTTTCAATTTGGTTAAAGTGACCTTTCTATCCGTTCAAAATTCAAAAGGTGAACGACTTCTATATTCATTCAGTCTCTTTGCTTCAAAAGTCTTGGTACTTTGTTTGGATTTTCTGGTTTAGGAAGAATGCTCTAAATACTGACTTCCTCATTTTTATAATAAGAAGAGAAGAAGCTGAAACCATCAATTCCTAGACAAATGAGTTTGAAGATTGTATATTCAGAGATGTAGAAATGCGAGATTTAGTGCAATGTGAATTCAATGGAAGATTGGTTTAGAGGGCAGCATTATGTGTACAAAGGATATGGACTTATTCCGGGAAAAATACAGTGCATGTGCATGTATTGTAAAATGGTTTCATCATATGAACCTTGCCTTGTTGGGTTCTTAAGTCTTTGTTTATGCATTCTTGGATTGGTACAAAACAGCATTATATGTAATTAAGGCTCCGAATAATGTTTTGTCAAGAGTGCTTGCTTTAAGCCTCATATGATATTACTCCCTTCCGAAAATAAGGGTTTTGGAGGAAAGTTGAAATCCCTAAATCAAAATTATGTTAATACATTATGAATCAAAATTTACTTGACTCATAATATATACGTGTTATGTATGCTGTGAAGAAAGCAAGTACAGGATCAAGTAACATGATTTAGCTCAAATTTATGTGTTTATGATTTGATTATTTTGTATGTTGGGAAAATTTTGAGTCATGTTC